TTTGGCGAGGGAAATTATGCTTACACTATCTAGACTACATTCACTTTTGTGTGGAGAATAGCGGAAAATATGAGGTACAGTAGTTGTATCATGGAGCTTCAAATATATGCTCATGGTTTTATGGTGTTTTTGTTGTTGGTTGGTTATACCTGTCAGAGAATAAGAGAGAACATCGGCTGAATCAGAATCCGTTGCTGTTATACTGAGTCCATTGATAGGCGAACCAAGGGGGAGGCCCTCGTCCACATCTCCAGTGAATGTTCCACTTAACACTGGCGTCTCATCGTTCACGTCATTTATATTGACTGTAAAACTTGCTCTGGCTGTGTCTGTTCCATCAGTGAACCTAGAACATAATGTTTGAGAGTGGGTACGTCATTTTACATTTCCCTTTAGATTTGGGTGTTGATAAGTATCAATTTTAGACAGTTTTTAAAAGATCAAAATACTTTTCTTGATTTTTTAGAAATGTAGGAGAGATTTGAATACCCAACCAGAGACATATATATGTTTTATATGTCTCTGACCCAACTTGCTAATTCATATTGTTATTATTATTTTATATTAAACAAACTACTTACACCAACACGAATGTATATGTTATGTTCCGTCCAAATAGCAACTGAGCAGATCAAGGGACGAGACACAAATATAATGACGATTGAAATGTGGCCATTGGGAGCATAAAGGGAAGACGGCTACATTTCTCTTCGTATAAAGAATGTTGGTAAGGAGAAATATTACAAATAAGAAATCGCAAAGGGCAAAATTTGAAGAGAAATAGCAGTAAAAACGATTTTTGCCGAGTTTTGTATACCCATAGCTGCAGCTTACTCTATAGTTATGGTATAAGTCGTATCAGGTGTAACAGAATCAAAATCAAAGCTCGCTCCAGCAACAGTTTTGATGGTAGATCCGACCAGTTCAAACTTTCCATTGGCGGGTGACAATTTCAGCGAGGGTGTGATTCGATGGAGGTCCGTGTCTGCAGCTGATAGGATCAAAATTGTTACTCCACCGGTTGTCGTCTCGTCTATGTCTACGGTCGTGCTCCCGTCAGGATTGGGGGAGGTGATCACTGGCATTGCACCTTTAAGAATGATAAATAATATATAGAGAGATGTTATGGTATTGATTCAGATTATGAGTTTGTCTGCATTTGTTAGCATTGCCCCAAGTCGGTCTCTTTTACTTATCTTGATTTCTATTATGACCGCCGGTAATAATTCAAGATCAGATAAGTAAAAAAATACCGACTTGGGCAAGGCTATGCATTTGTGTATGAATTGGAAATTTACTTCTTGGAGTCTTTCTTTTCAGATAAACAATTTTTTGTATACCTTCGCCTCATACAAGTATATAAAACTAAGCACGTGTTTTAGACTTTCAAATAGTGATGAAGCAAGCACTGACTGAAGTAAGTGATGTTTCACAGACTTGACATGAGGCCTTTGACAGTATCTTTTGTGCTAGAGGCTAAACGTAAATGTGCAGACCTTACATTCCGGGTGACATCGACTACATGCCCTACCTCATAAATTATGGACACTCAAACCGTTGCACATTTACTACGAGCTTAAAATGAATAGATTTTCATTGTTTATCATTTGCTTCTTTACGACTTATTTTATCGTTGTTGTCATAACGGTTACTTTAAATTACAGGCATGATGACGGTAAACAGACAGCTATCGATGAAATCTTCAAGATGGTCGATAAATTGGAGAAGGTTTCAAATGAAGACACGTTGACCATGGAAAATGCTTTACATGACCTCAACAAGGATTTGCTAAACGTAGCCAAAATAAAGAGACAAATCGAAAAAGGTGATATGTAATATTATAATATTTTTAAATTAATTATATATTATATTTTTGAGAATGCCATCAAATAAAAGTTATTTAACGTTGTCACATTGAATAATGTTCATTAATATTTTGCAATTTACATTTAATCTTTTTCAGGAAATATAGAGGCAATACAAACATTTGACAATCATCGATCATTTAAGACGATAAAAGAACTTAGGAATAAAGTAACAACTCAGTCAGTGTACAAACATACCAAAATCGCGAGTCCAAAAACCTTAGAAGATGTAAAGAATCACATTCTCGACCATTTGACACAGACTCAGAACCCAAGTGATTGCAATAAGCAAAATAAACTTCTATGTCATTTGGCGAAGCCTTGTGAGTTTGCATGCCAATTTCATCACCTTGTTTATTGTTTTATCGTCGGGTACACCACAAACAGGACTGTGGTCATTGATGCTACTGACATGGATTACTCCATCAAAGGATGGGAAGACGTTTTTAGACCTGTGAGTACCACGTGTACCAGTGTCAGTGCCGATGAGTATGACATCAGTACGCCTGAGTGTGCAATGGAGGCACTACATCCACAAGATAAATGGATGAATCTCACTCTGTGTCAATCTAGTCATGTGATTAGTTTACCCCCTCTTGATTGGTTAATAGACCCTCCCAGGTACATCACCTCGGGGATACCTGATGACGTAGCTATACTTCTGTCTGTACATATTTCTGCTGATGAAGCATTATTATTTTGGATTTCAACGTTGGTTGGATTTCTTTTTCAATTGAATGACAATATGGAGAAAGAAGCAAAAAGCTTTGAGTTTGGTATGGGGATCAACCACCCTGTAGTGGGATTAGATATTAAGCGAGTCGATGTTGATAACCACAGTCTGAAAGCCTACATGGACCATGTAGATCGATACTATGATGCGATGGACCCCGATGGCATTTTCATACGTCGGCGAGTGTACCTAGTAACGGACGACCCTGATATTAGAAGTGAAGCAAGGGACACTTATCAGAACTATCAATTTATCACTAATACACATTATGTTTATTTAGAGGAGACGGGAATTAGCCCAATAACGGGCGACGAACTCAAACATAACGTTAGAGACTTGTATATCTTGTCAGAATGTGATTTCGTAGTTGGTACATTTTCATCCCAGATTAGTCGACTGACATTCGAATTGAAAACGTTCAAAGATGATGAATTCGAAATCGCGTTCGACAATATGGTCTCATTAGATTCTAAATACTTTTTTACTGAGTAATGTAAAGCTTATTAGTAATGTCAGGCCCGTAGCCAGGGGGGGGGTTCGCAGGGTTCGGGCGACCCCCCCCCCCCCTGGCAAAAAATTCTTTCAAAATCATGCAGTTTTTGACCATTTTGAGCACTTCTCAAGTGATTTTAGCCTAATTTGAGCCTGAATTGTCAAATGTGAACCCCCCCTGGAAATTTTTGAAAATTGAACCCCCCCTTGGCAAATCCTGGCTACGGGCCTGAATGTACTAAGTAATGTGTTTAGATTTCTTTATTTTGATCAGTAATATTTTGCTTCGGTAATAATAGTTCATATAATGAGAAATGGATATAATGGAATAAGCTAATCTAACTAGACACATGTAAGGATACGTGTATGCTGTTTTTAATAAGATGCTTCAAATCGTTTGTATGGTATTTTCCACAATTTCTTTTCTTAATTCTAATATTTATTTACAACAACATTTGTCAATAAACGACAACATATTCACAAACTTATTGAGTAGTAGTAAATATGATGTAATCAATCGTAAAGTTCAAGCGGTTTGATGGCATATGATAAAATCGTACATCTTACATCTGTCCTAGGTGACGAAGGTTTCATCCTGTTTGATCCCCATCTTTTTTATAAGATCTATCAGAGCCCATGATAAGATATAACAATTCATTCAATTAAATCTAAACTTTAAAATACAATTTAATAATGATTTTAATTTTCAGAATTTTGCACCATCCAGAAAGTAAAGTTTTTATGTCACCACCAAAAGTGGTGACATATTGTTATGGTCTCCGTTTTTTTGCGACGGCGGTTGGTGGTTGGCGTCCGGCGGTTGGCGTCCGGCGTCCGGTGTCTGTAACAATTTCTTACAACTTCCTATAACTTAACAAATACTGTTTAGACTGACTTCAATTTTTTTCTAAATTATCTACATGTTCTCAGAAGTTCAAATCTGACTTTAGATTTGACATTTGACCTTCAATGACCTTCTCAAGGTCAAAAAGGTCTTTTTTCAACTTGCTTCACATTGACTAATTTTTTTTTCAAAATCATCTACATGTTCTCAGAAATTCAAATCTGACTTTAGATTTGACATTTGACCTTCAAATCTGACTTTAGATTTGACATTTGACCTTCAATGACCTTCTCAAGGTCAAAAAAGGTCAAAAAGGTCTGTTTTCAACTTGCTTCAAATTGACTAAATTTTTTTTTCAAAATCATCTACATGTTCTCAGAAATTCAAATCTGACTTAAGATTTGACTTAAGATTTGACATTTGACCTTCAATGACCTTCTCAAGGTCAAAAAAGGTCAAAAAGGTCTGTTTTCAACTTGCTTCAAATTGATTAAAAAAAAATTTCAAAATCATCTACGTGTTCTCAGAAATTCAAATCTGACTTTAGATTTGACTTAAGATTTGACATTTGACCTTCAATGACCTTCTCAAAGTCAAAAGGTCTTTTTTCAACTTGCTTCAAATTGACTAAAAATTTTTTTCAAAATCATCTACATGTTCTCAGAAATTCAAATATGACTTTAGATTTGACATTTGACCTTCAATGACCTTCTCAAGGTCAAAAAAAGGTCAAAAAGGTCTGTTTTCAACTTGCTTCAAATTGACTAAATTTTTTTTTCAAAATCATCTACGTGTTCTCAGAAATTCAAATCTGACTTAAGATTTGACTCAAGATTTGACATTTGACCTTCAATGACCTTCTCAAGGTAAAAAAAAGGTCAAAAAGGTCTGTTTTCAACTTGCTTCAAATTGATTAAAAAAAATTTTCAAAATCATCTACGTGTTCTCAGAAATTCAAATCTGACTTTAGATTTGACTTAAGATTTGACATTTGACCTTCAATGACCTTCTCAAAGTCAAAAGGTCTTTTTTCAACTTGCTTCAAATTGACTAAATTTTTTTTTCAAAATCATCTACATGTTCTCAGAAATTCAAATATGACTTTAGATTTGACATTTGACCTTCAATGACCTTCTCAAGGTCAAAAAAAGGTCAAAAAGGTCTGTTTTCAACTTGCTTCAAATTGACTAAATTTTTTTTTCAAAATCATCTACGTGTTCTCAGAAATTCAAATCTGACTTAAGATTTGACTCAAGATTTGACATTTGACCTTCAATGACCTTCTCAAGGTAAAAAAAAGGTCAAAAAGGTCTGTTTTCAACTTACTTCAAATTGACTAAAAAAAATTTTCAAAATCATCTACGTGTTCTCAGAAATTCAAATCTGACTTTAGATTTGACATTTGACCTTCAATGACCTTCTCAATGTCAAAAAAGGTCAAAAAGGTATTTTTTCATCTTGCTTCAAATTGACTAAATTTTTTTTCAAAATCATCTACATGTTCTCAGAAATTCAAATATGACTTTAGATCTGACATTTGACCTTCAATGACCTTCTCAAGGTCAAAAAAGGTCAAAAAGGTCTTTTTTCAACTTGCTTCAAATTGACTAATTTTTTTTCAAAATCATCTACATGTTCTCAGGAATTCAAATCTGACTTTAGATTTGACATTTGACCCTTAATGACCTTCTCAAGGTCAAAAAAGGTCAAAAAGGTCTGTTTTCAACTTGCTTCAAATTGACTAAAAAAAATTTTCAAAATCATCTACGTGTTCTCAGAAATTCAAATCTGACTTTAGATTTGACTTAAGATTTGACATTTGACCTTCAATGACCTTCTCAAAGTCAAAAAAGGTCAAAAAGGTCTTTTTTCAACTTGCTTCAAATTGACTAGATTTTTTTTTCAAAATCATCTACATGTTCTCAGAAATTCAAATCTGACTTTAGATTTGACATTTGACCTTCAATGACCTTCTCAATGTCAAAAAAGGTCAAAAAGGTATTTTTTCAACTTGCTTCAAATTGACTAAATTTTTTTTCAAAATCATCTACATGTTCTCAGAAATTCAAATATGACTTTAGATTTGACTTTAGATTTGACATTTGACCTTCAATGACCTTCTCAAGGTCAAAAAAGGTCAAAAAGGTCTTTTTTCAACTTGCTTCAAATTGACAAATTTTTTTTTCAAAATCATCTACATGTTCTCAGAAATTCAAATCTGACTTTAGATTTGACATTTGACCTTTAATGACTTTCTCAAGGTCAAAAAAGGTCAAAAAGGTCTGTTTTCAACTTGCTTCAAATTGACCAAATTTTTTTTTCAAAATCATCTACATCTTTTCAGAAGTTCAAATTTGACTTTACAAGTTCTCAGAAATTCAAATCTGACTTAAGTTTGAACTCATAATATTGTGAGCAACTAGGTGGTGACATTTTGTCATGTTAATGCCTTGTTGCCTTTATTGTCATGATAAATTTCTTTGATTCAACAAAAAGTCAATATTGATTCAGCATTGATTCCTCAACCATTGAAAAGCCATAATTGTCCAATGGGTTAATGCAGTGTTAAATCAAGCGATTTGATTCAAGGTTGAATCAATGTTAAATCAGCGTTAACGATGTCCATGGTCAATTTAAGCTTGATATCAAGCTTGATTCAGTGTTGATTTTTCAGGCTTGATTTAAGGTTGAGGATATCAATGTTGAATCAAGCTTGATTTAAGCATGGGCTTTCAACTAGAGCCCATGATTTAAGGTTGATTTAGGATACATGATATTAGGCTTGAATTAACCCTGATTTGCCATCAACCTTGATTCAACACTGAGAAATGTTTGCTGTGTATGTCTCATAGAATGATGAACATTATCAATAAACAAATTTTGAAATAACTTTTCTGTTCCACTTATTTACAATATATCCACAAGGAAGACAGTACAATTTTGAAATTCAGTTCGATCAATTCAAACTATTTTCCATATTTTGATATTATTATGGTGGACGTTATCCCCGGACGTCACTTGAATCGTTTAACCAACACTATTTATCTACCCAACAAATATTATGTACATAGAGAAGAAAGGTTTTCTTTTCTCAAAACAGAAAACAAGCTTTGTCAGAAGCAGTTCTTTTTCTGCCGATTTGGTTTCTAGAGATGTATATAATATATTTCTAGCGAGAATAATTAATTAAGATTTGATCGTATCCGTGCACAACTACAAGAATGTTCTTTAGATACAATAATCGTGAACTTAATTGTATACCAGTATCGGGCTATTAGTGTGCTTAGCTAGATTTGCAATGTTCTGATAAATCATCAATCTACAACAGCAAAAACGTAAGTATCAATTAAGCTGTTAGAAGTTTTCCTATTCTATAGCAGAGATGTCACAACAATAGAGATGGATGGTGAACACGCATGCGCGCTACACTTGGCATCCTCACCTCAGTAGTAACGTATTATAGAAACGTATTGAGAACATCAAAAAGTGTTTGTTCTTTTAACTGTGTCTTCAAAAAACTATGAAGCGCATTAGATGAAATGAAAATGACATTGAAATCCAAACATAAAAAATCAGCACATACAGTAAGGCAATGAGCATTAAACATTGCAAAAGTATAAAAATCTCACCATCGCTGAATCCTAACATGCAGAAGAATACCACGTAACACTGGGGTTGCATCTTAATCCACACACCTCGGCTCAACCTCTATCAAGCAATACCTACATCGGAACGAAATTAAATAGGTATACCGTAGACAGTCACTTTCATTCTGGAGCATCATAGAATCAGTCAGATGCGTAATTTAAATGAAGTCGACAAGACTAATAGAGCTTGTTCAATTGAACTGATTAAGCCCGTTCCATGCTCTGGAATTTCAAAAATAAATCTCTTCCATAATATATCAGTATTGATGTTTATTTTGCTATTGTCATTAGTTGCTAGTCTAAGCAATAAGATTGAATCCCTCCACTGTGCTGCACGATCTCTCCGAAATCCCTTTGTTTACATTCGTTTATTTCGTATCCAGGAAACGCATTGTTTCTGTTGTTCTTAGTTGTCATGAAAACCAGTTTGTTTGTCCAATTGTTCCAATGTTATGACGTTTTGGTTCTGTTTAAATTGAATGTTGTTTCCATAGCGTGAAAAGATGAAT